TGTAAGGGAAGTGGGGTTATCACGGGTATATTTTTACTGTGAACACTATGAGTGTTCAGCAACCCGTGATGTAAATCCTACTATTGCTTATATACTAAGCCCTTACTTTGCTTTGCACGTACCAGCATTATCATCTTTATCGGTATGTGGCTTAAGGAGCGAGCGGATCTCCTATCACTGGTTGTGTACAAAGCTATATGTGTTGATTTGTGTAGTATTTAGTCGACCGACTGTTTTAATTTATGCTGTTCCTTGCATAAACTATCCGTATAATACTACCGTACGGATATCCAACTGATTGGTACAAAGTCTAGTTTAAGGTCTGTTTGGTAAACATGTTTTCCTTGATATCTCCATAACCACTTGTCCTACTGGTCTCCAACATGTACCATTGGCATCAGTACATAAAACCGGATTTCCAGTTATCGATGACCTTGACCTTGGACGTGTGACCTTGACCTTGGACGTGTGACCTTGACCTTGGACGAGTGACCTTGACTTTGGACAAGTGACCTTGACCTTGGACATGTGACCTTAACCTCTGACCTCTGACCTCTGACCTCTGACCTCTGACCTCTGACCTCTGACCTCTGACCTTGGTCAGTGGACCAGGTGGACAGTGTAACGGTTGACCAATGTGTCTGGTGACTTATTACTATATCTGAGTTAACCTATCATAGCGCTAACTTTTGCATAGCCTATAATAGGTTACTCAATGATAAGGTTTACTCAACGTCGTCACATGTCAACACTAGTCTTTGGTCGGACCGGTCAGATCCTACCGTGTAGCGGACACAGTACGGAGTTCCCCTCTAAATAGTATTCGCTTACGTAATTAGTGGTCGACTTCCATCGGCGCGGCGTTCGATAGCTGTCCATTATGTTAACTGTAGCCTGTAGAACCGTTGGGCCTGTAGTGAACCCATATGTGATCCATAATGTCATCCGCGACGTAATCCATGGTTTATTTCCATGACTCAATCCATAATTTTATCCATGATGTAATCGTGGTCAGCTTCCATCAGTATAACATCTATAATGTAATTCATGATGCATTCCAAGTCCACCAGCCGCGACGAGTAAGTAATACACACAAAGTAATATGCATACTTTATTTCATCTTAGAAACAGTTATACGCTGTAGCACTCCAAGAGGAGATCTCTCCCAGGAGAGCTCTCTGAGGAGAACTGATTTTGATGTCTGAGAGACACCACTATTTATACTAAAGTGTACGTGAGAAATAATTAGGTCGTATTGAGTCAGCTTTAATCCCTGGGCGTAAACTATTCATTTTTCTGTATAACATTTCAATACATTATTTTAACTGTGAAATACAGAGTAAAAATAAAATAATATTTTGCTTAAAAGTAGGAGTTTACTATTCACTGTTCTGTATAACATTTCAATGCATTATTTTAACAGTGAAATACTAAATAAAAATAAAATAAAACTTTACTTAAAAGTAGGAGTTTACTATTTACTTTTCTATATAACATTTCAATGCATTTTAAGATTGAATTGTAGATTTTAGCATTAAACAAACCTTGGTTTGCAAATATAATTATTTAAATAAAAATAAAACTAAGAGTTGTGTTAAATTCACTTTAGTAAATTTAAACATAAACAAAAATCACTTTTGTATTGAAATAATTATAGCATTAAAACACCAATCAGTATAGCATTGAAATGGCAGTGACTACCTATAACAATATCAAAAAAATGTAAATGTAAATGACATTAAATATATTTTTTTAATATAATAATAAAACCTAGAATTACTATATTTTTTGTATTTATATTAGTTTATAAAAAATATCAAAACTATAGTAATAAAAAAAATTATAAGCCAGTTGAAAATGCTAGAAAGCATTTCCAGAAAAACTCAAAAAAAAAATTAAGTCATTCATTATATCAAATGAATTGACAAAAAAACATTAAACATTAAGTCTGTAAAATAACAAATATTTTAATAAATATAATGAATTGCAATTAAATGAATTAATACACATACATACATACACACACATACACACATACATACACACACATACACACATACATACATACATACATACATACACACACATACACACACACACATATACATACACACACATACATATACACACATACACACATACATACACACACACACATACACACACACACATACATACACACACACATACATAAACACACACACACACACACACACACACATACATACATACACACATACACACATACATACACAAACATACACACACATACACACACATACACACACACATACATACATACACACATACATACACACATACACACATACACACACACACATACATACACACACACATACATAAACACACACACACACACACACATACATACACACACATACACACATACATACACAAACATACACACACACATACACACATACACACACACATACATACATACACACATACATACACACATACATACACACACACACACATACAATATCCAGGATTTATATCCCCCGTTTTTACAATGATTGCATGCACGGGGTTTTGAGAACCCTTAAACTATGTTTCTCTCTAGTATTGTTGGTTATACTGTGTATAGCACTCATAACCGCCGAGAGTGCAGTAGTTAGAGGAGTACCTATTAACGATAGGACAGCATTATATATGTGGACAGTTTTTCGTACACATATTATCTGTTTCCTCGCGTTAAAAATCCCAACAAACTTAGGTGGCCCGTCCGGGTATCGATCTCGGGTTGTCGTACTCGAAAGCCGACAACTTAGCCTTTCGGCCACCGAGGCCCCATACACACACACATACACACACATACACACATACATACACACACACACACACACACACATATACATACACACACATACATATACACACATACACACATATATACACATACATACACATACATACACATACATACACATACATACACACACATATATATACACACACACACATACACACATACATACACAAACATACATACATACACACACACACACACACAAAACATTTTACTATTGCTTTTACATTTTTAAATGACTAAGTTTTTAAACTTATTAATAAAGAAAAAATAAAATATCTGTTTTTTAATAACCAATTTATAGATATTGTTCGACAAACACGTGCGCCACGTGTTCGCCTCCAACAACCCTAACAGTTGAACCGGTAACAAAACCGGCTTTCACTGATGAGGCCAAATAACTAACCGCTGACCATATATCACCAATTTGACCGACACGACGCACTGGTAGCCGGGCAGCATAGTTGGCCAGACCATCATTGGTAATACCATAGTCTGACATGGTTTCCGTAGTAATTACGCCAACACTTGTTATATTATAAATATATATAATATATAAAAACAAAAATAATTTTATTTTTTAAAAATCTTTCCCATATCACCTTTACCACACCCCATCCCATCCCCCACATACTTACACAACAACATTGACACGTATACCATGGGAGGCCAAACCAGCCGCTGCACACTTGCTATACATTTGTAGTGCACTTTTAGCCGTAGAGTGCATTGAAACCATCGAGTGCTACAATATATATATATATATATAAAGATATACAGATATCCAAACATACATATATATAGGAGATAATTATAAGTGTATTTAACAAATAATAATAATAATAATAACAAACATACTGTGCATATGTTAGCCGATATGTTGACAATATTACCACCAAAAATAGATTTCTCTAAATAAGGTACGGATAGCTGTGTCAGTCTGACAGTAGCCCTGAGCTCTATATCAAGTAATTGGTCTAATTTTTCAGTAAACATTGGATCCAATAGATCGCAACTGTCTGGACAGTCGGCATTGTTGATCAAAATGTCTATCTGGCCATAGGTTTCAATAGTTTTGTTCACCAGTAGCTGGCAGTCAGCTTCCAGACAAATGTTGGCCACAATTGGCAGTATTGTTGTTGTTGTCAACAGTGTGGACACTGCACGGCATTGATTGGCCACAGCTGTGACCCGATCCTGATTACGACCTGTGACTACAACACGGGCACCGCATTTGGCAAACTCTACGGCCATACCGGCGCCGATACCACTGCTCGAACCGGTAATCAATACTACTTTTCCATTGAAATCATTGTTTTTTGTAATAATTTCCATATTTTTTTCAATTTAAAACAATTTTTATTTTATCTTTTGAAATTTTCTTAACTTTTATTATTATCATATAATTAATTAAAAAATAAATTGGAAAATGAAAATAGATATATAAATTGACACGTAGACATTATATTAATAACAAAAACAAAAATTTTTTTATTATTATTTTATATTACAACATTACTTTGCAAATTTACTGTATATTTTTTAATACATTAACTATTTTTTATTTTGTCGACTCAGCTAACCGTCCATTGTTTGAACACTAGCACCCGATCCGAGTCCATAATCGTATTGATTCGGTGGGCAATAATTGTCAGTACAGTACACCTGAGCTGAACACCTGGCGAATAGTTTTTGCTGAATAAGTGCATCGGTTTCCACATATCGACGGCAGCCGTGGTCTCCTCGTCGATGATCAGTACAAATGTATGACAATTAATAGCTCGGACCAGACAAACAATGGGTTGTTGACCGACAGACAGAGAAACTTTTATTACTAATATTTTATGACATTATGTCTGTCTAAGACATCGAGATCTTTGCTTTAAGTTCTACGAGTCCAACGAGTACTTCTTTCAGCTGACCCGTCATATTATAAGTCAGCGAAAAGCCGGCACTGGGACGGGTAGTGGTGGTAACGATAGTAGTGGTAAGCGCTGGGACTTTGTTGAGTTGCTTATGGAGGCGCACGCTATTGAAGACCAGACTATTAATGATAAAAAATAAAACAACTGACTATAACTATAGACACTATGAAAAGGGTAGGCATTTGTATAGTTGTACTAACAGTTCAATGATTGTATTGTTATTGTTGTTGTCGATGATAGGTATGACAAAGTACTTGACCGACGATGAAGTCATAGCCAATACCTGGTTCTTGACTAACTATGGAGTGATGACAGTTATTACCCTATCGTTTGCAACCTTTGAGTTGGCCTGTAATCAAAAACTTTACGATGAGATCAGGACAGTCATCATTACTAATGATGACGACAATGACGACCGTCAACTAGATGTCGATCGGTTGCAAAATCTGCCGCTACTCGAGGCTGTCGTATGCGAAACACTACGCTTATATTCGCCGACCATAATGGAGGGCCGGATTGCCAAAAAAAAAATGACTATCCATTTAGGAGGCGCTCTTACGGGTGTTACTCTCAGAGCCGAAGAAACAATAGAATTTGGTGTCTATCCTATGCATATCAGCGCCGAATACTATCCAAACCCCGAACAGTTCAAATTCGACTGTTTTCTACTAGAAATCCGTAACCAACTGACTCCCTATGCTTTCCTACCGTTCGGATTAGGGCCGCGACACTTGTATTGAAATACCGATTCAATACATGTGCCCAAACAGATATACCAACCAAAGTATATATATATAAGCAGTTTTTCAAATGCACACAAATGTATCAATTTGAAAATTGAATCTAGATAACTTTTTTTAAAAATATATTATTACTATGCTATGTATTTCAAATATTACATATTTAAATACCTGTAGATAAACATACCTATATAGTAGGGTATAAACATACCTGTATACATATAAGTAGTTTTTAAAATGCACCTAAATTTATCAATTGAATCTATGGATAAATTTATCTAATTTTATTATTCTAATTATTCAAAATTCAAATCAACGAATCTTATAAATAAGTTAATCTCTAATCCAATCTATAATCTTCCAAAAAAATCTGAATCCATATTATACTTGAGTCCGCCGTCGACTACCAAACTGTGTCCGATTATGAATCGGGCGTCCGATGAGCTCAGGAATACCACAGCTGAGGCAATATCCTCAGTTGCAACCTATGAGTTGGCCTGTAATCAAATTCTGCAGCAAAAAAAAAAACATTACAACGAGTTTAAGACAGTAATCATCGCTGATGACAACGACCGACAACTAGATGTCAATCGGCTGCAAAATCTACCGCTACTCGAAGCAGTTGTATGCGAAACACTGCGCTTGCATTCGCCGGCTCTCATTGAAGGCCGAATTGCCGAAAACGACTATCCATTGGACGGCCGGAAAACAGGTATAACTATCAAAGCCGGCGAAGCGGTAGAGTTTGGCATTTATGCGATGCATATGAACGCCGACTACTATCCCAATCCCGAACAGTTCAATGTCGACCGTTTTCTACCGGAAAATCGTAATCAACTGAATTCCTATGCATTTCTACCGTTTGGTTTGGGTCCGCGACAGTGTATTGCCAAACGGTTTGCAATGATTAATATGAAACTAACACTCGCGACATTGGTATTGAAATACCGATTCAATACATGTGCCCAAACAGATATACCACCCAAAGTAATGATAAGTAGTTTTTCAAATAAACCTAAACGTATTAATTTGAAAATTGAATCCAGATAATTATCTTATTGTATTATTATTATTAGATCGCATTATATAACCTATACTGTATATTTATTGATATTGATATGTATATTGATACACAACAATATATTTATAATAATTTAAGATTCATTAGATTCAATTATGTTATAATGTTTAAAATATGTTTAAAATTGTTTTATTTGTTTTACTATTATATTATAAAAAATTTGTTATAAAATAAAATTTTATCTAATTGCGTTAGTTTGTTTTAAACTATTTATAATTTGTTATATTTATAAAATAAACTTTTATTTATGAATTTTTCTAGTATATTTCAAATAAAGATTAATTATTAAATATATTTTTAGTTAATAATAATTATTATTAAGCTTCGGGAAAAAAGGGCAATAATGTGTCGCGCGATGTATTGAAATAATATAAACTATCGCGAGATTTAAATTTAATAATAATTATAGAATTGCAGTTAACATGTTTTGTTTTTTATTAGTTAATTGATTGAATACATATAAATTGATAAATTTAGTAAATAAATCTAAAAAATGTAAAAAAACAGATAAAGTGTCGATTAAATTAAAAAATTATATTTGTGAATATAATCTAATATTTAGTTAAACTATTAATTTAGCAAAAAATTCAACTATTTATTCTCATAAATTATTAAATATGTTTTCATTGATGTTAATTTATAAAATAAAAACATGTTAACTGTATATTTGTTAATATTAATTTAATTTAACACGAGACACATTATTGCCCTTTTTCCCCGAAGCTTAATAATTATAATAACACTTTCATCTCACAAGTGTATAATTTGATTAAAATATACAATTTAGATAATTTAGCAATTTAAATTTATTTAGATATTAAATAATCTATTTTCAATGTTTTATTTTTGTTTTGTATTTGTATATATTATAAAATATTTTTAATTATATTAATTTATTAATTAAAAATTTTAATTGTCTTTAAATTGCGTTTAATTAAAAATCTAATAATACTATTAGTAAAATATTTAATAATATTTTAAATAATAAATTTAATGAATTCTCAATAATATTTCATTTAAAAAAATCTGTATTTTGTTTTTATTTTATTTTATAATATTTTTATATTATTAAAATATAAAATTATAGGTCAAATGTATTTAATTCATTGGATGACTGTGTCATACAATAGAAATCGGATGACATTTTTGTTTTATAAAATAAATTTTGAAATTTGTTATAATAATACTAATAATAACATTAATAATAATAGTCATTTACATTAACTATTTTTTTTAATATTTACATTTTTTTCAATAAAATATCCATAAAAAACGAAAGATTTTATTCAAGATTTTATTAACAATTAATTTTTATGTTTTTTTATTTGATGTCAATAGAAATTGTATTTATTAAATGAAATGACATTAGATTTTTTTTTATAAATATAATAATAATAATATAATAATAATATAATAATAATAATATTATAATAATAATAATATAATATTAATAATAATATAATATTAATAATAATATAATATTAATAATAATATAATATTAATAATAATAATAATAATAATAATAATAATAATAATAATAATAATAATAATAATAATAATAATTCGTTTAGTTATTGTGTAAAAAAACAATTAATATCTATAGAATATAACATAAATTTTATAAATATACAATATAAGAAGGCGGTCAATTGATCTTGAGCCGCGTATTTTTTGAATAACTTTTAAACTGTTAGAGATAATTTAATTCTGTAAAATACATTTAAGAATATCATATCGACCACACTTAATATACACGAAATCACAAAACTAGGATGACCAGATATACAAAATATCGGGACCAACGCAAGACACTATGCTACAGGTCAATCTACAACAGACTAATTTTTTATGACAATGTAAATTTGTAGTCAAGAAATAACAGTTTAATATAAAAAAAGAATCATCAAAATCGGATTGGTACTTTTATTTTTATACCTTGTTAAATTTGTGACAAATCACATTGTATAAAATTGTCTAAAATAAAATTGACGTTATTTATGACCATTATATATTTAGAAGATTAAATTTTCAATTATATTATTATTTCTAAAAACAAAATTTTATTATGTCGACTAGTTTTCGAAATAATCGACTTTCAATATAAATTACACTATTGTAATTTTATATTATAATTTATATTGAAAGTCGATTATTTCGAAAACTAGTCGATATATTAAAATTTTGTTTTTTAGATTTAGTGATAACATGAAAATCTTCATTTAATAAGTATATAATATTTACAAATAACGTCAATTTTTATTTTAGACAATTTTATACAATGTGATTTATGACAAATTTGGCAAGGTATAAAAAATAAAAGTACTGTCCGATGATTTTTTATATTAAACTATTATTTCTTGACTACAAATTTACATTGTCCTAAAATTAGTCTGTTGATAATAGCATAGTGTCTTGCGTTGGTCCCGAGTCTGGCCATCCTAGTTTTGTGATTGTATTAGTATATTAAGTGTAGTCAGTATGATATTCTTAAATGTATTTTACAGAATTAGAATTATCTCTAACAGTTTAAAGTTATTCAAAAAATACGCCGCTCAAAATCGATTGACCATATTACTTATATATATATATATTAATTGTAAAATTAACTAGATAATAGCATCGACATAAAATAGTTGACTATAATCTACTATTATCTAGTTAATTTTACAATTAATTTTTAAAAAATGATCAATTACAATAATGTTGCTTTATTTATATTATCTACAATTATGTCCATGGTCATTTTTAAATTGAATGTATAGTTTATCAGATATTTAATATAAACTAATGAGTAAACTGTAGACCTGTCTAACCTAATACTCTCCCAAATGCATACAGTATACCAACCCATACTTGCAATACTGTTTTAGTTGATCACAGTATCATAGCCAGGGTTTTAAAAATGGCAGGCATAAACAATATATGTAATTTTGTCAAATGCCTGCCATGCTTTTGATTAATAAATACATTAATTGTAAATTTAATTAACACGCTTAACAATTGCTTTTTGTTTAGCAATTTAAAATGACAGACAAATAAAAAAAAGATGCCCAAAATGCCAGGCATTTATGGCATCTATTTGGTCTAAGCCAGGGCAGGAATTTATTTTCTTTAAAAACCCTGATCATAGCCTTCTCAGTGAAATAATATAAAAATACCTAAATATTATTAAAAAAATAAAGTCAAATAATATATACACACAATAAAAAAACTTAATAATATTTGTTAAATCATTGTTAAGTAAAAAAATAAATAATTAGTTTTGACATAAAACACATCATTAAAACAGTTGTTAATTAAAAAAAACATAAAATTTTTGTTTATAAATTTCAATGACTATAAAAATTAAGTATATTACAGTTGAAAATGCTAGAAAGCATTTCCATTTAAACTCCTTAAACTAATTAATAATAAATTAAACATTAATTCTGTAAAATATCAAATATGTTAATAAATATAATGAATTGCAATTAAATGAATTATATTGATTTATATTACTAGAATCTATATATATATATATATATATACTGTATATAATAAAAATTTTTATTTTAGTTTTTAAATATATCAAAACAATATATTATAAAAAATTTAAAACTTTGAAACTATGTTGTCTATAGTATCAATAATTTTTATATCTACTGTACTAACATTTGTTTATAAGTAAGTTTTACAAAATTTATTTATTATAAATAATTAGCATCATATTATAATTTACTACAAATAGATACTTTACTCGACATTTTGAT